TCAGTGGTTAGCTCTTCCCTGTGGTCCTCCACCAACTCTTCCACATCCCCGTCACTCACTTTATTTACCAAAGGGCTTGCACTAGCTTTCCTTGGGTCCATGATGACTTATTTAGCAGTTGCAAGCACAAAAAACAATGGATTATTATGAAATGTACGAACCCGCGGGGTGATGGTCACGTGTTGGTAAACAATGGCACACTGAGCATGAATGGCGTGGGAGACTGGCTTTGTGTGTGCGGTGACGGGCGGACGGGTACCGGACGGTCACCAAAACACGAGTTTTTTCACGAAACTCGAGGCCAGATTTTTCCAAAAAAACTCGCCGAAGGTCGAATTTCGCGAAAGTCGAGGCTGCCGAAACTCGGGGGTCCACTGTAATGGATAAAATCTACCTGGTAAATTGTACGTTTAATTCATTTATTTTCAATCTTTATGGCAGTATAACTAAATTGTGCACAGTACAGTACTATATTAGGTATACAATAGAGTACTGTATTGCTTTTTTTTTTTTTGTTGTTAATTTCTAACATTATTCTGATTTAACAGATTTATGGGGCCACCTCCTTCCTCTTTGCTTGTTAAGGGTTTGTCTTTAAGTTGTACTTCTAGTCCACCTTACATGTGCATAACCAGGGGATTTATGGTGTGTTATTATTCTTCTTTTTTCTTTCAACACACCAGCCGTATTCCACCGAGGTGGGGTGGCCCTAAAGGAAAAACGAAAGTTTCTCCTTTTACATTTAGTAATATATACAGGAGAAGGGGTTACTAGCCCCTTGCTCCTGGCATTTTACTCGCCTCTTATGACATGCATGGCTTACAGAGGAAGAATTCTGTTTTACTTCTCCATGGAGTCTGTTAGTGTTACTCTTAGTTTAAATCTACCAGAAATGTTTTTGCATTACTATGGGCTTTTTCATGTAAGAAACAACTAATATAAGCCAATTTCTGTAACAAATGTATCTTCTTGGAAAATATATTTTTATTACAGTATTATTAAAATAATTCCAGACATAGGTATGAGACAATTTAGGCATAATGTACAGTCACATATATAAATATACATAAAACAAAATTAATTGTTTAAATATTTTAATAAAAAAGAAAATCTAAAAACAAGAACACATGTGAATATACTCAAATGGTACAGGTTGGCCATCACTAATCCGGCAGTCAGTCCAGTTCTATCAGTAATCCAGCACTAATTTCAGCTAGCATAATTTCAGATTTCCGGGGTCACCACACGAACCTGCCCCTACTGTTTGGTGGCATTTCTTGCTGCATAAGTCATTCCATTTTTTTTCTCCATTTATTGTTATAACCTGCTCACTTTTAGCCCTAGCCATGGTTCCAATGAATAAAAGAAATGCTTCTTGTTGTGTAAAGCACATACACCGTACATTGTCCATGAAAGATAAGGTAGCTTTGAAGTCACTGTCAGTCGCCATGAGCTCAGCTCACTCAGACAAACTGTAACTGGTAAATTTGGGCTTATATATATGAGAGAATAGGTCTGTGTGGTAAGTGTGCACTATAGAAAAAAAATCCTGCAGCATGCAGCGCATAATGAGAAAAAACTGCAACCGTGTTTTTGGTGTAAAACAGCAAATTTGTGGTGTATTTTTGTATGGCTTTTTATGTTTGTATTCTGTTTTCTTTGTTTCATTTGATAAAATGGAAGATATATTACAGAAATAGATATGATTTTGATTGGTTTCACAATGGAACGTACCTTGAAATTGAGTTCAAAATAGCAGAAATTTTAAATTTTTGCCGATGTTCAAGAGTAAACAATACATTCAAGAGTAAACAATCCAGTACGTGTCCAGCTGGCTGGTCTAATGCCTAGTCATGAATAGGTTGACATTATTTATACAATTATTACAATAATGCAGTAATCTGAATAACAGTAAATCTTTTAATTTTTGTGTGAGTAAAAATTCAAAATGGAAAGTAAGCGTAATATAAGAGGGGCCTGGAGACATGAGTAATAAACAGAGAAAATGTTATTTTAGTGCCAGGAATGTCTGCTTTCTTTATGGTGGACCCTAACTTGAAATTGGTATCTCTTTAAATGTGTGTGAAATTGGCCAAATTACCGATTTTTGACCACTTTATAGAGTAGTTGAAATAAGAAAATAAGGGTTTTTTGTACTTAGGCGACAAAATAGAAGAAATATTAGTGATATAGATATGAATTTGGTAGACTAGAACAATGGAATGGGCCAAAAATAGGGCATAAAGTAGGTGTATTCTAACCTAGCCACTATGTAATCCAGTAAAACCACTAGTCAGGCACCCTACAGGTCCCAATGATTCCGGATTAGTGATGGTCAACCTGTACCATATTTGCAATATTTTTTAGCATACTAACTAAAGTTTGAAAGAGAATATTCTGTAAAAATTTTATGCTTATCTAATTAGAATTGCATGTCTTTCTTACTCATAGAGCTTACTGATTATGTTATGAGGAAATGATATGATGCTAATGTACGTTGCATTTTTTAGTACAGGTGCTTATCGACTTACAATGGTTTGACTTAAGATATTTTAACTTTATGATGGTGCAAAAGCAATTTCTTTGGAGATGAAACTTAAGACAGTTACCCATCATGAAGGTGGCAAGTCCATAACTTGTATTCATTTATTTACTTTTCAATACTGGTACTTAATTAGTTACAGTAATTATATGTTTATTTACTTATTCAGTGACTGTAGTTATTTATTTATTTGTTTAGCATATCATATTCAACTTATGATATTTTCAGCTTACGATGGGTTTGTCAGAACATAACCCCATCGTAAGTCGAGGAGCACTTGTACACTATATAATTAACTACAGCCTCTCCTCACTTAGCGATCTACTCATTTACTGATGACTTGGACTTATGACAGGCTCTCTGACCAGTATGCATACCTAAGTAAGGTATATTAGAGCTGATTTCCTCTATTCTGTTTATTACAATAACCATTACACTACTGTATAAACATTTAAAAATATACTAAAAATCTTATAAAGGGTGCAAAGGTGACATTGAAACAATATCAGAGATGGTCAACACAAACCCACTACCATTATAGTATGCTCCTTTCTTAGCGACGAATTCGTTTAACGATGTGGTCTTAGGAACGGAACTCCGTCATTAAGTGAGGAGAGGTTGTAGTGGATTTAAGTGGTGTGTCTGTATAATAAAAGTTGTAAATAAATGATTCAGTGAACCAACAGGATGATGAATTAGACATGTGTGCAACACTTGGGTATCTTTATTGTGGAAACATTTCACCAGCCAGTGGCTTCCTCAGTCCAATACAGAGAAGAATGGTTAATTGATTGCCTGATCACATAGACTCCAGGCTGAGGCACTGATTACCTCAAACTCTTTCTGATCTTCAACCATTCTTCTCTGTATTGTACTGAGGAAGCCACTGGTTGGCAAAACATTGCCACAGTGAAGATACCCAAGTGCTGCACATGTCTAATTCATCATAATAAAAAGTTACTTAATATATTTGATTAAAAAGCAACAAGTAGAATTTGTAATTCTTTGAAAGGTTAGTATGCAATAAAATGTTTTTTCTAATGTGTATTTGGCAACAGAAAAATAAAATAAAAAAAATTGACATTGCTCAATGACATTTAATTCATTTTACAGTGAATTTTTTCACAAAAAAAATTCTTATTTCTTCATAAGCATGGTACATAGTATTTTCTTATTTAAGGCATAATTTCTTCGTTTTGTCTTCAAATATAGTATTTACCTAGCTAAAAAAAAATTCATTTTTTCCATAGAAATTTTTCTATTAGACCATACTGTTAATATTTTTCCTTTTGCTATTTTGTTTTTTTCAAATAACATTGCATTATACACCTAGTGATGTAATAAATGTGTCAAGTGTGCTTTTGTTGAGCCTTCCTCAGCGCTACATTTCACCTTGCCTTTTTTTTCTTAAGTTTCAAATGATTTGTATTGCATTATTTATTAATATTCCTGTGTTTTTTATATGTTGTACTTTCTCTTGGAATTTATTTTTTTACCACTATTGTTTTACTAGGGTATAAATTAATGAACAGCTTAGCTTTTATTGTGCTTATTTATTAATGTCAATTACGAAGTAACTTGTGTTTGAACTCTGTTAGCATTATCTTTGTGCACTATCCTAGAGGCAATATGTTCACTTTTCCTTAACTTATATTGGATGCTACTTCAAAAGTTAATAGATAGATCAAATATCTAGGTATTGCATGCTGTAAAGATTCTTAATGCTTTAGTTCATTGGGTAGTTCATACTCATTTCTTTGCAGTTATTATGATATTCAAATAGTTTTTATTATATGTCACTATTTTTCTAATATATTTTCAATATTCTGGAGTGTCTCCATAACCCATAATTTATTCATAGTATTCAAGGCTTTCCACTTTTTTACAAATATAATTTAAAAAGTTGTTAAAATCTACCCTATCTTAGTTTTTCATTTATTTTAGACCCATTTAAAATTTTGATAAAAGCATTTAAATGTATTTCTTTAATTATATCAGATTACAGTTTTACAAATTTCATTAGTCTTTCTAACAATATGCACTTTTTGTTTGATACTAGTAGGCTTATGTCCCACTGGTCATTTACATTCAACTAGTGACAATCCAATTTGCTGTTCCACTTTTTGACCAATGCCCACCCTTTTCTTGTCTATCTAGTCTGTGTACTTACTATTTATGTAAGCATCACTGCGGCACGTGTGACTGTGTCGCTCCACATCCAATGTACTTATGCTGCTAACAATATCTTGAGCGGAATATTCTCAGTCCAAGCTAAAATCTGCTAAGTGAGCTATAATTACTGATGATAGAAAAGTTTAATGTGTAAGTCTTGTATTAAGCTTTTGATACAGTATATTGATGGCAGTAAAAGTTCACTGAGGAGTGACAGAAGCGGTTGAGACTGCGTACCCCGTAAACTGTGGCGAACATTACAGTGGCGCTGTCCGTTCCCTTACAGACATCGGAAATTTGCTTCAAGCAAGCGGTTTCATGAAGAACTTTATGCCCCTCGTGGCGGAAAGCGGGCCGGGGAGCGAGGGTAGGCCAGTGTTGCCCTCCCCACTAACAAAGTCACAGATATTACTATAATTTTAACCATGTTATCCCTGTATAGAATATTCACACACAATAGGTTGTCCCCAAATCTTCACCTTAGTCACAATCCCTAAAGTTAGATAGTGGAATGATTTGCTCGGTTCCTTGTGTGTGAGTATTCACTAGAGGCGCAAAGATTAGTTTTTTTTTGCCAGGGTTCCATGTTGCGGCAAATAGATCCCTCCTCCATCACAGGCTCTGCATGAATACTTAAGTTGCGACGTGACCGCTGATGCTGAGCCTTAGTTAATGCTCCAGTTTGGCCCATTGTCCAGCTCTTATTACTAGGAGAATGAGCTTTATTGAAACAATACAAGGTTCCTAGTTTCTGGTATGGTCACCTACTAATCTGTCCTGCACCTCTCAGAAAGGGAGGGGTGGGGGACCCTTTCACATCTCCACTATTTTGTGGAGGAGGACCTCCAGCTCTTGGTCAACCAGTTGTGCACGGCAGCATTGCTACCAAATTTTTCTTTGGCTTACTCCCATGCATGAAATTTTGACTTTGTGGCTGAGGTGGCAAGGAGGCCTGCCCAGAACTCCAGTTAAGAGCTGAGTCATCATTGGGTACTAAGTCTAGCTGTGGGGCAGCCTTTTATGGGTAAGGACCCCCAGCCCCTGCCCCCCACACTTTCCACTTACCCTTAAACCTTTAACACTACCTGCCAACTCCACCCACCCACTGAAAGCATCAACTAGTGATCAGTACACCACTAACCTTCCCCACTGTACTACCTGTGCCATGATTACTGTAACTACAATAAGACAACTTTAAACATAATAATATTAATCATATTGCTGAATTTATGTGTAAACTTCTTGTAATAAATCATACACACACACACACACACACACACACACACACACACACACACACACACACACACACACACACACACACACACACACACACAGCTATGACTCGACCCCTGCAACCACAAATAGGTGAGTACACACACACATACACACACACACACACACACACACACTCGGGGCCAGGAGCTTGAACTCGACCCCTGCAACCTCAACTAGGTGAGTACACACATACACACACACACATATATACACACACACACACACACACACACACACACACGCACGCACAAATGCACGCACACACTGACACACATGCACGCACGCACCGACACACACGCACGCATGCACCGACACACACACAGACACACACACAGACACACACACAGACACACACACAGACACACACACAGACACACACAACACACACATGCCACACACACATGCCACACACACATGCCACACACACATGCCACACACACACACACACACACCACACACACACACACACACACACACACACACACACACACACACACACACACACACACACACTCACTCACTCCTACACCTACACTGACCTTTATACAGCATTTCCTTATGTAAGGCTGTTCTACTACATAACACTTCATTAGTTTTTGCCACTTTCTATTATCAGAAATTATGTGAGGGTAATTACTTTAGAGGTTAATGCTAATAATGACTTTGGCATTTTTAACAGTGGATGATGAGCATGATGTTGGTGGCATGGGTATGCTCGTGGTGGAATGGTTGTGCTACAGGCATTTTGTGGGTGGGGCAGGTGGGTGGGCGGACTTGGTACGCCTCTGCCTCCATCACCGCCACAACTGTAAAAGTATCAGCTTTGGGGATGTTAATCACTAAGACTTGTTTTTCAACATATTCGTATTAAAAAAAAACGGTATTTAGTTAGACATTTATACCTGCAAATGAGATGTAAATTTCCCAATACTAGTGTAATGTCAAGTAAGGAATGATATCCCTGAAGCTGAGGTTTTCTGAAGAAGGACAAGATGATGAACTACCACTACTCACTTCACACTAATAGAGAAACCCTCTCCCACCCTACACAGTATATAGTGAGTGAGGCAGAGGTGAGTGAAAAAAAAAAAGGTATGATACTTGTTTTATTATCTTTTCTATTATCTTTACTGTGGGCGGTGGTGCATGTGTTATCTGCTGCCCGCACTAACTTCTGTCTTCTCTTTAGTGGCATTATTCAGGAAAGGAGTCCGTGCTGTCCAATTGGTAGGCCGAACAAGTAGGTAACATCCCTACGACAGTGGTGGTGATGGCCGTGTGATATGCATGTTGCATGTTTATATTATTTCTTTAAATTTCCATACCCGTGGTGTATCATCAGCCACAAGTTTCAGGGAATTCAAGTCGAGTTTTCACCGAGTATGGTGCTACTGTATGTGGAATGGGCCCAAATTCTGAGGGTAGTTTTTAGAATGTGAATTATCATGAAAATATGTTTTAGTTTAGGTGTTTACTTAGACAAGCTTTAATGTGAAGGTCTTTGACATATAATTAAAGCTTAACAGGAATGACTGAAAAATATGAATAAATAATTCCTACCCAAACTTAATGTAATAGCAAAAAATTCTGGGCTAAGGCTTGTTTGAATCCCTGAACCTGGTGATTTATAATCTGCATGACTCATTAAAATTACAGCCAGACCTGCCCCACAGTCCGCTAACTAATCCTAACAAACAGTTCATAGCGATTTAAACATCATGACACAGTAATCGTGATCATTGGCTATGACATAATGAATTCGATCAATTTTGTGACAAATTTATATATCAACCATTAAAACCGACATAAAAGATGATGAACATTGTGAACAGAATAACCTCATTAGTAAAAGATAAGATGACACAACAGTTAAATTTAGTACACACATATCCAAAATATGCTAAGTACTGTATAAGCCAATTTCTTCTCTCTTACCTTCAACTAACCTTCACTCCTTTCTCTGTCTTTTTTTTTTTTTTTTTTTTTTTTTTTTTTTTTGTGTTCATAAGGTGGAGAAGTTACCTTTATACCAAGTAAGTCCACATCAGAAATGCAGCTCTTTTATTAACTGTTTGTTCTATTGGCAAGATGTTGACGAATTGTACAGCAGCCGCATGAAGAGAACAGTTTTTTTAGATGCTAGTGGGCCTTCACTGTGCATCATAGCAAGGGCTGCAAGTGTTCTCTGTGCTGGAATGGTATTATATTTCCGTTCTGACATGACTTCATTATTTGATTGGATGAAATTCCTCGGCTAGTTGAATTATGTATTTGTTCAGAATGGATTTCATACAATGACAACTAGCTCTGTAATCAGTGGAAGGTCGTGGATTTCATCATTAAGGAGTGCCAAAGCTTAGCTGCGAAAAAGTAACATGGATATCATGTGGAACTCTGCGACTGCTGTCTAGGCCTCTTCTATGTCTACCATCCCTTCACACTGTAGCAACAGGCCACACTGTAGTAGTGCAGGTGTATGATGCCCAAGTGTGGGCAGTGGCAGCTGGGGTGCATTAAATACTACATACAACATACATTTAAGGCTGTCAAGTTAAAGATACACTTCCATGTGATTTTACAATGCAAATGAGGAATTATTAGCTGTGTGTACTTAATTTTTGTCTGTAGATTAAGAACAAAATTTTTTAAAGAACAGGGCACTTTTTTCTACCCAATTTTCAGACTTTCACAATTCTTTAGTTATTTGCCGCCTTTGTAATCCACTACATTAATTTTTTCACTCCATGTACAATGT